TGTCTGTCTGTCTGTCTGTCTGTCTGTCTGTCTATCTATCTATCTATCCATCTATCTATCTGTCTATATTTGTCGCGGGAGGACGACTTTCGAGCTCGTCCTGCGACCCTGGCCGGTAGCGGCAATTGACCGTTCAATGGCAATGCTGACCTGGCGGCGGCTGGCTCACCTGCATGTGGGAGAACCCGATGGATACCAGTAATTGCATCGGAATTGCCCAGAAAGTTTGAAACCGTTGAATTTTGGGAATTTCGCATGTATTCTGTGTATTTTCGAGTGAATACGGGTCAGCTGTTACTCCGCACTGAATTCGAATGGTCAAATGTCATCAGCGATGGTTAATTGGAGATAAATCGTCATTTCTGCCATTCTTCGCACACCCCAAATTGCAGCAGGTCAGATTTTGTGAGAATTCAGTGAAATACGGCTCAGAGTTTGTGTGCATTGAATCGAATATTTATGAAATCGGATTTCCATCAACTCTGGACCATGTCTTGGAAAATTGATTTCGCTATCCTATAAGTTCCTGGAGATGGAGCTTGTTGTCACATATTACCAGGAGAATCGACCTTGTTCTATCATTAGCACGTTGTAGAGCATGGAAGATTACCTCCTGTAAACACCTACAGTTCATTGCCAATCATGACCAATCAGGAAGAGTTTCAGGATCCTGTGTCAAACATAGACATTGATGGTGATGTGGGGGACAGTTCATCGGAGACCCCCGGCCTTGAGGGGAGCCCTAGAACTAGTGCTGGTTCCAGCAGTGAAAACCTATGCTGCTGGTCCGAAGATCTGCCAGGGTATTCATTGCTGTGGCTTTCTGCAGCGCGGTGCAGCCTGAGGCTGTCAAACACATCATGTGATGGGCATATCGCCCTTGGAAGGACTCCTTACTAGCCTTGTGCAGAGAATCAAGTAACGAAATGCCTCAGCTCAAGGATCCATGGACAGGCCCCACCGCGAGTCTATCAAAATGTGGCAAACGCCATTTCAACATTTTAGACATTCCTCATCCTACTTTTGGAGATTATTTTCAGGTGAATGGCTGGTCACATGAGCCAATGCAGGATATGATTTGCAGATTGTCCTCACCACACCCGAAACCTTCAGCCTAATCGCTTCTCCTACGAAATTTCTGTAAAAAAACTTTAAGATGTGTTCTATCTACCACGATAGAAATTGTCAGATAAACGACATCCTAAAGCTATAAACCTTCAACGTTCAACATTCACCCATAAGCTTCCAGTGTGCCTCAGGCTCAGGAACTTCGTCACTTCATTTCCCTCTTTTTGCCTACAAGGTGTAATACTCGTATGTCGAATGTGATTCACCCACTGTCGCTGCGGTGTTCCGTGAAATGTTTTGTAGCATTTCAGCAGCGCCTTGGGTTCCAAGGGCGCGTGTTCCATTTCCTTTGGTCACCTAACGTCCCTTGTGTTGAATCGCTACCCATGTCCAGTTGCCGAGCCAGCGACAACATTCCGCTTCGTGTCCCGTTCCTGCCAAGGAGGGGACAATGGAAAGAACTCTGAAAGTTTAGGCATAAAAGAAAGAAACGGGTCGGAACATAAATGGGAACAAGCAGCGACGGGATACAAAAAAAGTAGTCAACAGGCTCGTACCTGAAAATTGGTCCCCAAGCGTGTTGGCAAAGGAAGGAGTAGGACCGGTGATAGGGTTCCTTTCAGTCCCATTCCTGCTGAATGCAAATGGGTCAAGATCTGGCGGAGCCCCTGCTTTAGCTTTATTAACTGGCGCCAGTTCCTCCGAAATCTGGAAGCGGCCCTACCTGTAGCTGCGCTCAGGTTGAAAAGTGCCGAGTGGCCGGAAGAACTTGCTCACAAGGCGCACGTCAGAAACGCATACACAGAACAATACACGACGTTGGTGCTGCGTTCCGGCTCTCCTTGGCAGCTTGTATGCTGTGATTTTTTTCCCCCTACAGACTGAGCGTAAGCTCAAGCTGTGCAGGATTGTTTGCCAATTCCACGAATCCTACTGTGTACCCGGTAACTGCCTCATCTGCTTTGGGTGGCAGAGCTGTAGCATTCTTACCACAACCGGAGTTCTTGGGTGTGAATTGGTATCACTGAAGATGTGTCTATAGAGGTTTGCCCTGAGGAGCACACGTCCATAGTGCCCGGGTGTTGCTGTCAGTGTTCCGCAGAAGCGACAGCAAGCTTCTCCACAGTGGTCTGGCGGATCTGTTCTTATCAGCACAGGTATTTGCAACAGAGATAAGAGGCTATTGCTGTCTCGTTGCTTGAAATTGAAGGATGTTGACGTAAAGGCTGTGATACGTGCAACAAGGCACCAAATCGTGTGCTGGAGTGGATCCTCACAAGCGAGATGTTCTGTTTGCAGGCAAAAAGGCTGTGGATATCAGCCTGCCTAGTAATGCACATTTGAATCAAATGAATCACACAGTAGTATGCACCACATAACCATATGACAGTCTGTGATACTGCCCATTACAGGAGAGCCGCATCATCTTATCCATGCACACAGCCGACGCTTGCTCTTGGGAAGAACGCCCAGAGCGTCCTCTCGCCATCCCGCAGCATCGAAGATTGGGTTGAAGAAAGTATGGGCCCCAGTTGAAGCCAATTAAACAGAACTTGTATCCCATGGGCCTTCCCATGTATTCCAAGCCACATCTGAATCCCGTATATACCAAAAAAATGTTCATTCCCGGAATGGGCCATTTGGCAATCGTTTGCCAATGTCGTATCCATTCCATTCCCAAATCTCCCAGAAGCCATGCCATCACACCTCTCAACTCACCCCAAAGCCATGATATCTGTCTCTCTCAACTCTGTAATATCATGGCCTCTGCGACGAAATCTGACATCCTTGATAAGTGGGGATGATGGACCGATCAACTTTTATATCCCCTTCCCATACATCTTCCGGATCTAACGCTCATTTGGATTCCACACCTTTGCGAAACCTGGGTGACGACCGTGAGCCCCACTTACTCGACTACCCCTGTGTTGCTGTGAGCCGCCATCGACCGTTTTCCTTGATCTTGCAGAACTAAAAGGATGCTCCGGAATGGACATGCGATTTTCCGCTGGTAGCGGCAGCTGCTGCTTGCCCCAGATCTGTCGCGTGGTTCAGACGGCCCCACAGAATGCCCCTTCGCATTGTCGATCATGTTCATAACATATTTTACCTGCTTCCCATTTTCCTGGTTGGCAGGCTTCGCTTCAATGCGAAGTTTTGGCTCGCACATGAGAATTTGCGGAAGAACGCCCCGGCAGATTTGGAGCTGCTTGTACTGTATGCAGTGCGGATTGCCTGTATTGGGACGTGGGCTTCGGTCTGCATTTGGTTAAATAGGCTTGGTTTCTGCGCTTACGTTATGTTAAGGTTTTTGCGTATACAACACGTTTAGGTTCTGCGTTTGCATTTTTGCGCGCAAAAAGGTGAATTTGCGAAAGGGGCTAATTTTGCGTCTATTTTACGTTTTCGCAGCTCTCTGGAACAGCCAGTTTACACGATGAAAGTTGCGTACACTGATCAGCTTTCCGTCATCTCCAGCACCGGCAACAACACATAAAACTTGCTGAACCAAATGTTCATCTTCAACTTTGTCGCGTGAAATATTGCGAGCTCCCCGCTTCTCAAGCCGGTCCCAACTCCGCGTTCACGTCGCCCCTGAAAGTGGAGACGATATCGCTTAATACACGGCTGCTCACTATTCACTCAGAGATGGAGACATCGGCGCTCATATCCTCGCCTCACAAAGAGGCCGCAGTATGAGGATACACATTGGTTCCAAAGTGTCCCTTACCCCCACCCATCCCCCGTCCTCCACAGGCTTGGGGGGCATCCCCCCTCCCCTTCCAGCTTGGGAAATGTTCAATCTGATTGGCCTCGCTTCAATTTCACTTTCGAGATTTCGTGACCCGCACGAAATAGACATCCATCAAATCCTGTAATCCTCTTCCTCAACAGTTTATTCCCCAGGCCCCCAAGGGAGAGAAATCCATCTCCGATACGACACCCTCCAGGCCAGAAGCCCACCGTTCGGCCATTCCGCATACGATACTCTGGGAGACGAGGTAGAGGGCCTCATACATCCATGCCCAGAAATCGGGACTCAGCCGTCCACGTTTCACGCACACTTGCCCCGCGACAACGGCTGCCACAGATTCTGGTGAAGAACACCGATCGCATCTTCTGTGTTCTCATCAAATTGACTTTCCCATATTGAGGGCAAGGCACCAATCCAAGCAAAGCTTCCGTTGGAGTGATGATCCATTAAAGTAAGTAGAGCTCGTTGTAGTCAACACGCGTTGCTGGGAACACATGGCAACCACACTGTGTCAAGTGATGGCTCTCCACGTGCCTCGACCAGCGGCCTGGACGAAGTAACTCATTCTCAACATGTGCGGCGAGGCGTTGGCCGACATGTCGCTCTATTCCGAATCACTCCACTGGGCTGAAGATGAACAAGAACCGTGTGGGCCTCCATCTACTGGTACCGCCACCGCCTCGTCAGCAGTGACAATGCACCCACGACAGCTGCTGCCACGTGCTGGAACGGATTCGCGGCAACTGCCAGCCACTCTACGGAAGGAAGGCAGACATTGACGTTCAGCAGCATATCGAAGATAGCAGTTCGGATACCGTTGTCCAGTGCTCAAGAAATGATGCATCAGGATCTGGGACTTTATTTGCTTTAATGACTAGTGATATAAGACAAGGAAGCGATGCTGAAAGGCGCTACAAATTCGCGTCTACTTACTGATTCGCAGAAAGCTGTGGTGAGCACCAAGGTTATGTTGACACATCGCGCATTTCGATTCGATGAACAACAGCGCATGTTGTTCGTTACTTCAAATAAAACGTGCAATGGTATTGATGTACCGGGTAATCGAAAGCAATCCAGGTCCTACTTTCCACACATTTTTCGCACACAGACTGAAGAATGGAGTCATGAATGTCGATCGCGCACATTTCAATTTGCAGCTTCTGTGAGACGCACCTCTTCACACTTGGGATTTGTGCTGCTCGATCCATTTTCTGATGCCACTGATGCTCGCACAGTCGACCGCGCGGTCCTGCGCTGAGCCCGGAATGACACTTTCACTTTCAAACGTGGAGTTGGTCGGAATGCAGAGGCCAACGAAGAGGTCCAGTCCAGGCAGGCCTCTCGCCGTGCCATTTCCCATTGAATAGTTGTCCAGAATCATTGCCATCACACCTAGATCAGATGCACAACATATGGACATAACGCGGAGAAATATTTCCACTAGTGCAGGTCTAAAAAGTGCTAACTTTTTCACCCCCCACCCCACCCCCCCCCACCTCCCCTTCTCCCTTCAGAGATCCAGCACTCGCACACAGGAAAGAGAACCGTTGAGCAAGGGGCTGAAAAATGCACAGTAAAAATCACCGTTAGATTGACGTGTTGAATTCATGGATGTCAAAGCCGACGGAGTGGCGCACAGTGAAATTTTGATCGAACGGCTGACGCATGCGCAAGAATTATCTCATTTGCGCTCATCCGCAAGTAGCAAAATGAGACGGCAGACCAACATCGTCGCGCGAACTGGACGCGGAGAGAATGCGCAGTCCTTTTTCTATGCTCAGGGCATATTCGCACCGTGTGCCCATCTTCTCAGGTCAGTGCCTCTTGCTTACCAGCATTGGATTGCGCCGATTCTGGCACGAGGCAAAAGGATCCCTCTTGACTATGTCCAGGTCCCTGGCAAATGCTGGACTGCACTGCCTTCCATCGGGAGAGCTTCGGCACATCCGCTGGGTTGATCCCTTCCAAAATTAGACCTCTGTAAACAGCGAAATTTTCACCGGCGAGGGTGGGAGCCGTCACATTCACGCGTTTGGGCAGCTTCACAATGGCGGCGTTGCAGCAGCCAGCAGCCGAGCCCTTCCATCCGGGGTGCATGCTTGCCCACTCGGCACGCAGTTCCTGCCCAATCACCAAAAATTTGCATTAAAGCAAATTCACAAGCAATTTGATCCTGTTTTGAATGTAGGAACATGCATGTTCCTACAGCACCTCCCACTGCATATGCAGTATCCGTTAGCCAATGCACCTGTATTCCAGGCGCCCACCCTCCACTCCAGCCAGGGTAGCCAAGCACGACGTTGGGATACGGTCCCGCCAAGTCAATGCAACTCGCCGTGGTCAGGACGAGCTGCTTGTGGATGACAACTCCGGTGCAGAATCCTGCGTGTGCCCCAGTTTGCAGACGGACCAGATAGGGGTATCTTTCTGCTGATTGCATGGGCCATCCCACCTTGCAACCCAACGACAGACAACGGGGATGAGATACGAAACAAATAGGCACGGCGGCGCAATCACGCTGCGCCACTAGTGTGTAGCACAAACATTGTTGGAAAGGAGTGTGCAGCAACTGGGGCGACATTCTTGCTGCTGCTGTTGTTGGATGCGCCGGCACCCATCTGAGCTGTTGAATGTGCCAATGTTCGTATGCCAACTATTGTATGCTTCACTGCGGCTGAATGTAGTGCACAGTGGAAAGAGGGAAACACACTGTTTAGAACGGGAACACATTTAAGTTGTGTGCACCTGTGTCTAGCAAATAGATCCGTTGCCATTATGTAAGCAAGAACGCACGCATTTAAAATATTCCAAGATGGCTATTGTCAACTGCAAGGAAGAGCAAATTTGGAGACCCACCCGTCCCCCATATACAGCAAAAAATTCATCAAGGACAACCATTATTGATTGCACCCAATTTTGTCAAAAGTCGATATTTTGGACAATTTAATACGCCTGTGTGCCAGGGTAAATCTCTAGTTAAAGCCTCAGTCGGCTGGCATCGATGCCAATCGCCTATAGCGATATCACATTCTCGTACCTTGTGATCCAGGTCCTCAGCGCTTGCATCAGTGGTGTTCTTGAATGACGTATTTGCTGCATAACATCCTGCGGAATCGATCCCGTGGACAGATCAACCAAAGCTAAATCCACAGCACGGTCTTGTTCTTATTGCGACTATGTTATTTCTACATTTGCAAGAAATTTGAAGCTAGTAAACCATAAAACTAAGCTAATGCAAATAAAGAACGCATGTCTACATGAAAAATGAAAAAAGATCGATGTCCGTTGTTGTCACATATGTATTGAGAACCAGTTGCGGCATGCTGCCCCAAACGATCCCTTTCGCATTCCAAATCTCCTTTTGAATTTACCTTCAAAAGACGGGATGCCGGATGGGCCGGCAAGCGTCGAGAACGCGATTCCCCCCAGAATGGAAAGCAACAGTCCCATCGCCAGTACGCCAGGGACCGTCCAGTTCTTGATCATGACCCCTGTGTCACAGGAAATGTGATCATGACAATCGCTATCTCAGCGCACTCAGGGTCCCAAAATATGACTCCCACCTCGAAGCTGCGATGTGTATACCACCCCGGAGGGTCGGTCAAACACCAGCACTTGCGCTGCTCGCGTCAGCAAGATGATCTGTCAGCTTGGGGAAGCAGGAAACACCGAGACAATAAGGAGGTTCCGGAATAAATTTCACGCTAAATGGATGCACATTCGTACGCGCCCCCAAGTTTTCCATCCACTGTCCAACAATGGCCGCCCCAGCGACCAGTGGAAAGACCAGGCGGTCGCCCCTTTCGGGACTTGCATGACATTTCAATGGCACCCTGGACAAGGGTTCACCACCATCCAGGTACTCTTAGGACATGCATAATATGCAGCTCCAAGGATGCTCTCAAAGCCGCGCGATACAAAGCCTTTGACCTCGCCAACTTAAAGCAGTCGCTCCCGGAACCTTGGGGAAGGTGATAATTCCAATCGACGAGCGTGAGGGAGCAGGCGGGCATGACTCCGGCTGAAAACAGGGCTTAAAGGCGTGTCGAGGGGTGTGCGCACTCTGGACGCACTTTCAATGAGAGCCAAGGCTTGACTGTGGACGATGAGGGGGCAACGAGTTTCTTTGAGCCAGCTGCCAGCAACACGTTCTGCCGCCTATAAACACCTGAATGCCTGGCACAGTCCCAGTGCATGCCCATGGGTCCCTCGCCGGCAATGCTTCAACTGCCTTAGTCTCATTAACGGCCGAAGCGAAGCTGCCAAGTACATTGGGCGACCTCTTCGGCTCACACTAACGCCACAGCCTTCCCCTGCCCGCAGGCTGCGCCGCTGTGACAAATACCCAGAAAGGCCTCAACGGACGGGTGCTGATAATAATACGAATGGAACAAATGAGCGTTGCGGCACCACACGATCATACAGATTGGCAACCAATCAAGGGTTTGAAGGGGCGAAGGACCAGACGGGGTCCTTCCGGACTGCCCCGATCCCTGACGGCCATGGGCTCTTGATTGACAGCCCGCCCCTTTCAGGGGCATCTGATGGCCGAAGGAGGTACCCAGATTCCCGACGCTGCATCCTTGCTCCGCAACCACGTGTATGCACACCGCATCAAACCTCGTGGTTATGACCGGCCCCGAATCGCCAGCCACAGGCCAGCCTGTACTCCCCGGTCAGTGGGCTGGCCTCCGGTACGTACGGGGTGCAGCCAGCGGTGGCGCCACCAGTTGTTGAGTGACGTTGTTCGGATTGCACCGCTGGGTTAGGCAACCCTTCTGCGCATAAAGGGTGTGTAATGGCGCCCCGCTTTCGTGACCAGCGGCGCTCAATTGGCGGTCGACTTCGAGACTCACGCTAGGGAGGCGGGGGTGGCACGGAGGGCCGCAAGTGGGATTCTCGGCATGCGGAGACGACAGGTGCGAGTGAGGAGAAAGATGGCGGAGGCGAGGTCGTTGCTTTTCACTGGGAATCAAGGTCGAGTGGAAGATGGGGTCGGTAGCCACACAGGGGTGGGTTAGACGGCGCGGATGGGCTGGCTGTCTGGGTGACAGCCAGCCGGGACACATGAGCTGTTTTCTGCCGCGGTGGGGTGCCTCGTGCGCGAGGCTGCGCACATATGCGCGTGCGGCGGGGCGCGGAGGACAGAATTCAGATCCGAATCTCGGGCCCCGCTATCACCGGCCTGTGGCGTGCGATTTCCGCAGGGCCCCACGTTGCGCAATCTTCGGGGTGGCTGCGCTTGGCGTGTGGCCTGTTTGGCGCCCGAGCACCTCGCAGCGCTGCGGGGAGCGACGCTTCTGCCGCTTTCGGAGGGACGTGCCGCGCAGTGCTGGAGCCAGATTTTGGCCGCGCCCGGAGGAACCCGACGCACCTGCGGAGGCTGGGGGGCTTGGGGAGGCGCAGCATTGCCAAAGCCGGCGCGCAGCCCCCACAAGGAGCTCAAGCTCCTTTTCGGGGGGACCGTGTGACGAGCAGCCTCGCGCGGCGCAACCTCACGCGAACGTCAAACCCGCGGTCAAGCGGTCGAACGGTGCCACCATTCAAACCCGCTAGTGTTCCCAAGGCTTTCACCCAGTCCGGAGGCCTTTCCGCCCCGATTGCTCTTTTCGCCCGACATCTGCGCTCGAAGAACCCCCCGCTGGCCTCCGTCAAGTTGCTTGGGCCGCGCTACATGCCTTTGTCAAAATTTTCCTTCACGAGACAAAGCGCGCTCTTGCACGTTACGCGGCCGGGAGGCGCGTTTGCATCAAAACAGCGTCCCGCGGCGCGCCGATCGCTGTTTCGGGTGACAGCCGCGCTGAAATGCTCGCCGCTACGCTGGCCCTCGGCGCTGGGCTCCCACGCGGCCGCCCTTAATTCCTTTGTTTAAATTCGCCCGCGAAAGGCAAAGCGGCGCCTTTGCCCATCGCGGGCGCCGGCGGGCGTGGTTGCATCGAAGAAGCGGTCCGTAGGGCGCGGTCTTGGCGCTGGCGGGGGAAAGCCGGCCGGTGGGTGGTGCTGCCGCATGACGGGTGAGCCTCTTCCACAGGGGGATTCCGTGAGCCGATTCACCGGATAATCGGGATCTCAAGCATGCAGCGGATTACAGTGCTCATTTCGTGGTTGTCCTCGGGTTCCCCCATTGTCCGGCACAGCATCCCAGTCCCGCAAGAGCCTCCTGAGTTGTTTCAGCTGTGTCCCGGCGCGGAACTAATTTTGCGCGAGTTCCCTTGGGCTGACGGTGGGCGCCCGGCGGCGGGCGCTGCCGCAGTCACTGTGAACTTCACAGACGGGCCGCGCCCTTTGGCAGGCCCGCGTCCCAAGCTAAACCCTTTCCCGGCGAACATCCCCTTTCCGCGGGGGACCAAAACGCCGCTGCCAAAGGCCAGAAACGAGGGCCTTCGGCGTGGCACGGCATTTGGCAGCCCAGGATGGCCGGCGCCCCATCACGTGGGCTCAGGGGGCAAAAGCCTTGCGATTGGAGGGCAGTTTTCACGACAGCATCTGGGCGGGACAGACTCACTAAGCACCCGGTCTCCGCTCACACAACCCGGAGGCCGTCGCCAAAGTCGAAGGACGCCTCCAAAGCGGAGGGAGCTCGATGCTACGGCGCGGCCGGACGAGGGGGGCTACCGCGGCGTCTGTCGCGGAACATTCCTCGCTCGAGGATTGTTGTGCGCATTCTGCACGGCCCACAGGACCTGGCAGAAACGTCGGGGATACTCCACGCCACCCGCACACACGGCACACCGCACACACGCACACACGGCACACACATGGCCACTCCCAGTTGCGTCGTACTCACCAAACCAGCGGGTAGCTCGCCTTGCGACTGTCGTTGTGGGAGTGCTAGGAGCGACTGCAGAGAACCCTCTTTGGACCGCGTCCGCTCGCCGTTACGAGTCTACGCCGGCACACACACAAGAGGTAAGCCAGGGCCAGAGCAGAATGGACACCTCCGCGCCTTTTGGCCGTTTGGCGTGCACAAGAAAGATTCCCTTGAGTCGACGCCTGGCATGGGTGCGATGAGCAGAGCCTCGCATCACTGCAAGCAGTCGAACGGCGCGAAAGGGCAGAAAGGCGTAGAAGGGACACCTCTACCCCGAGGCGGTCTCGCCGGCAGGCATGAAACGATTCCCTTGGTTCGACGCCCCCCACGGATGCGCACAGGAAAGTCGCGGAGCGGGCCAACGTACGAAAACCCGGCACCAGTAGCGCCTCTGGTGGCTCTCGACGGGATAATCCCCGCCCTTTCGCGACACTGGCGGTTGCCAAAGCGCGCCAGACTCCCGTTGACTAGCTTGCCTGCCCTCTTACCCCCTCTCCCCCTTCCGCCCCTCCCTGCGGCGTGAAACGCTGGGTGGGGGCGGGCGCCCAAGCCTTGCTCCCTTAGTTTGACCCGGGGACACTGACCATGCCTTACTGACACCCTTGTTTGACCTGTCGATAAACGTGTACTTCCCTCGCCCCACCACCACCCCGCCCTCCCCGCCGACACCCCACACCACGCACACAAACACAAAGCCCAAACTCGACCCAGCTACCACGGATTCCAAAGGGCGCAAGGTTGTTTGGGCCTTAGGTCGCCGCTGTTGGCCCCCCAAGCCGGAGGAACGTCCCAGCTGGGTTTTGGCCCACCGGCGTCCGCACCACGGTTCCGTGGGTCAGGGGGGTGGCCTGAAATTTCGGACCAAGGTCTTCGAGCTGCCCCTCGAGTGGTATCCATCGCAAGCCAACGCTCGGTGGGGTAATGCGTGTGCGAGAGCGCCATCTCCAAATTTCCACGAGGGTCATTCCCCGCTGGCCCGCCTGCTGTTCTTCGTTACAGGCGTGGGGCACCACATGGTGATAACAGCTCTCGGCCTTACCTCTGGGACGGCTGGGCAGAGGGCCCACAGCGGACAGCCCCGGAGAGAACTTGCTATGTCCTGGCGACTGTGGGGCGAGTGGGGTTCCGAAATATGCTGCGTGAAGGCCGGAGGGCCGGGGTGCCGCTGTTGTCAATCGGGATTGGGCATCACGCAGGTCCCGGCTTGGGACAGTTTGTTCCGTGGCCAGCGCGTGGCTGACGGTGGCGGTGGGTATTCAAGAGGTGTAGTGCCTGTGGGGTGGCGTCGAATTTTGCACATGATCACGCGTTTCATGACCGCATCCACGCATTCTTTCCGGCAATTTGCAATCGAGAAAGTGGACAACGCGGAGTTTGCTTCTCGATTTTCGAGGCTGAAGGGGCAGAAGGGGCACCGTGGACTCCGAGTGCGTTGGCGCATGCCAACACATCCATGCACTGCGCGGAAGCACAATGGCGTTGGGTCCGTTCTGTGATTTTGGCCGTCGAGGACAAAGGCTGTGTCCTCGGGGAGTGGACCCCAAGTCGACACACCTGATTGCCACTGAAGAAGTCAACAATATCATGCCAATTTCGTGGTCTTTTCGGCCTTAGGAAAGGGAGACGTGTCGTGGGCGGCAAACGTCGGTCCGGGGCACCACCTTCGGATACACCG